GCACCGGCGGCGGTGCACCCACCTGCCACCGGCAGTGGCCGGCTGAAGGCGTGCAGCACGCTGGCCGCGGTCACCTGGTACGAGGCGAGAGGCCGAGCGTCGGCCAGCGGCTGGCCGCGGTACACCAGCTCTGCGGGGGGCGGCAGGCGCAGCGCGTCAGCCATCGAGCAGGTCCACCGCACAGCCGTGGCGCGCCTACTGGTGATTGGTCGAGCTTAAGTGCCCGCCGAACCGCCGGCTACTATGGCCATTTAGTATCCAACTACAACCACTTGAGCTTGTCATTCAAGTCTTACGCATCAGCACGAAAGAGGAGACAAACGACCGCCAGCAGTTCACGAGCGGGCACGGTAAGCCGGCCGACAGTCAACAGACAGTCACTGTCAGTCGGCCGCGGCGCCCTGTGACACGCACGGAGCGGAAGGCGGCCCGAGCAGCGTCACCCACCGATGCGGTCGGGGGTGAGGCCGAGCAGGCGGGCGGCGGCGGCGCGACAGGCCGCCACCTCCTCCGCCAGGCAGGTGGCCGGCAGCTGCACCGTCTGCCGGCGGCCGCCCTCTGGCGTGTGGCAGCAAAACCGCACCGACACCATTGCTGCGGCGTTCTGAAACAGACAGGTCATGCACACACCAAGCCCACATTTAGTGCCCCATTTTGCCACATTTAGTGCCCACAGGCCCACACATGCCCACATTTAGTGTCATCAACACCAAATTTTTAGTGTTTTGGAAATACATAGGAGTATGTGTTTCCAAATGACATCTTAGTCTGTGGCTCTTGACAGTACAGACTGAAAATGTACATCTTGTACAGCAATGAAAATATTTCAAACCAGGCATAAGAGATGCACACAAATGATGGTGTTATTCATTCCCCTCATCTAAAAACAAACAAATCCGCACCTTAGCAGAGGCACATCTTTGACTGCCTCATGTAGTGTTTTGTTCTTAATCACAGGAAAAGCAAAGCACTGTATAAAAAATGCCAACTGTGTCTGCACAGCATCATTTAACTAACTGAGAGCTACATATCATAATGCCAGTTATAACAAAATGATGCACTCCAATTTTGCCCCCAAATTTGTCATAAAAACAGAAGACAAAATTTCCTTCCTTTGTTCACTGCATATTAAAATGAAGCACCTTCCTTGAATAACAGTTAAATGTATTATGGAAAGTAAAAGTTTATGGAGATTATGAGCAATTTCTTGAGGGACCTAGTAAGGACATGATCATAATGACAGCTGTTTATAGTCAGCAGGGACTCCAACAGCTCTAAGAACAGTTCTACAGTGGGTGAGGATTCCACCAGTAATGAGAGCTGTTCCATACATTTTTCCATGATTATAACACATATACTAATGTATCCCATCCAATATCTATAGTTAAGGAAAATTTTCTTTTGTTATTCAAATTGCCATGCTCCACTCACACTCACATATATGATATTGAGATTTCATGTCTAGATGTCATGATCAGCTGGCTTTCCAACCACACAATGATCAGCACAATCTCCTGCAGCTCTATCACCTTGATGCATCTGTTTTGTCATGCCAGTGACTAAAAAAGTTGCTTCTACAAATAGCATTGCTGATGAGATTATATTTTAATCATTTTGAAGGACAGGAAGTAAGATCATATATTCTACCTATATCATTTTCATTTTGTATTTATATTGTGATCCTAACCTAATAAAAAATAAGTTTTCATCTTAAAGAAAGGTGCAATGTCAGTAATTCCCCCACAAATGGTCCATGGCCAGCCACTCCAAGGATAATGTGGAATGGTGTGTACAGGACAGGCAAGATAGACCATGTAGAGTGTGACAACATAATTTCAAATCTTTAAAATAAACTTTACCTGCCAAAGTACACAACAGACTAGGAGCTCCACGACTGGACACTAGCACAAATACGACATGCACCGCTTGCAATCAACTTTGATGCAGAAAAAATATGTGATCACAAGCTCCGAACAAAATATCCAGACAAACAGTGTAGAAATCCTGGAAGTTATTTCTAAGCTTTCAGTTTGAGCTCCTCATTAGTTGCCCTCCGAACCCAGCCACACTTATGCTTTTCGATTTTGGTGTAACAGTGAGTCCCATAAGATTTATCGTTCCGCAAACGCACCAAAGCTACGCGTGGACTTCTTACAGTCGAATGACTTCTTCACAGTTTTAAGCAACCACTTTCCAACCCGAATTGCACTCCTCCAGGCCTCTCAGCTCCTCCACAGCTATGACCGATTCACCAGAGACTACACATCACGACCCTATACCGAGCTGTCACATCCTCCATTCTTGACAGCCTGGCTAAGTGCGGGACTCTTCGTATCTACCACGCAGTATTCGTCATCAAAGCAAGAGCGTATAGCAGGTCAAATAACGTATACCTTTTAGCGGGTGGGAAGGATCACAAGCTGCAGTTTCTTAAGAAACTATTTCGTTATTTTTGAATCCCTGATTGCCTTTTTAATGAAACATTATTCAATTTAAGCGGAGTAATTGTCAAGCTGTCAACAATATAGCTGACTCATGGTGGCTTCACCAATAGCGCTACCGAGCGCAAAGCTTGTCGGGACGTCGGCCACGCATGTTGCAAACAAAATGTATTTCAAAGGAATTAAAATGTATATTTAATTCATGAACTAAGACTATCATGAACAGGAATTGGTTAAATTGACTACAATTACTAATCAAATTAGAACTCAACTCTGTCGAATGGATGTTCAGCAGACAAAGGTACCGGAACCTTCCGGAGTAGCACCAATGAGCTGTCGATTTTGTGCTGACGTCATGAGACCTATATAAACTCTGTTACCGCGGCGGCTCACCATTCGTGAGTCGGAGAGGCTGCGCTGCGTGTGGTTGCGGAAATCCTAGAGTTGAGGCGCCGCAAATTACAGTCAAGGTAAGGAGTTTGGATGTATAGCGTCAGCAGAGGCTTGTGCCACACATTTCCCTAGGCACTTATGCCAACCGAGTTATTGTGTGGATGTACCGGTGTGGGTCTGGGTCTCCCATTATGGAATGCGTCTCCGCTGCTAGAGTGGTGTAGCTAAAGGCATTCTTTGTGTCGTGATGTAGGAAGCTTGCCATTTTATTGGTGACATCACACCTGTTGCATTTCTCCTTGGGTTTCCAATTACTGAGAGGAGCTGCATCTGTAATGATGGATGAAATTTTGTCGTGTTTTGCGACCTTCATGACTGTGGCTACTTGCTCCTGTGTAGCAGTGGTGCAGCGTAATTAGAGTACTCATGCTTGCGAGGAGCCGTGACCAGCTTCATTGGTTACTACCCATTTCAGCATTTGTAAGATGGCTGCGGAATTATGGCGCTAAAGCAATCTTGGCCATTGGAAGTTGCTGACAATTTGTTTGATAAAGACTGCAAACGAGAAAGCATCCACTAATATGTTAAACACAATTTCTGGTATTGTCCCAGAAGGAATACACTGCAAATTGTGCATGCCTGAAATGGGCATTGAGTTGGCTTCATCTGCTTCATATTTTATTAGTGGTTTTTCATTACCAGAAGGCTAGGGAGGTCCGCAAGATACGGTGTAGGTGTACTTTCCTACCTAATGTTAGAAAAAATCATTGCACACCATTCGTCGTGTTCAAGGCGGCACATATCGTAAATCATCTCAAAACAGGTAGAATCATGCTCCTACCTTCGAATTTCAATAACTTCGATGGCGAGCTCCCGGCGAGCTCCCGGGCGCCGAGCGCACCGCACCGCCTGGACTCCCCAGCGCCGTTTCTGCGTTGCTGTTGCGTAAATACAATATTTCTGCTTACCAAGAACTCTACAAAATGTACGGGACCAAGGTAAACCATTCGTCGTACTGCCTCGACTTCCAAGCGCCGTTTCTACGTTGTTGCGAAAGCACAATATTTCTGCTTATCAAGAACCATAAAACATGTACGGGACCAAGGTAACAATAATAAGGCAACCAAAATCATTTCTTATCGAGTTTAGGTACATTTATGAAACACGCAGGCCAGAATAGTCCAGAACATATCCTAACCTAACCTAACCTAACTGAGAATAGACCAGAACCTAAGCTAAGCTAAGCTAACCTGACCTGACCTGACCTGACCTGACTGACCTAACCTAACCTAACCTAACCTAACCTCCCCACCCTATATCCCCTTCAACCCAGCATCTCATTGGCATCCATGTTCCATGCCATATATAGGTGCCATATAGTGAGCTTTTATTTAGCTGCCATGTTCTCATTTTGCTTTACATTCCCCACCCAATCCCCCTGCAACCCATGGTCCCGTTGGCGTCGAGGATCAAATTTCATGGATTCTTGCTACCTTGTCCCGGTACATTTTTATGGTTCGCAGTAAATATGGTTTATAGTTATAGTGTGGTTTATATAGTATAGTTTATAGTTATAGTTATGGTTTATAGTATGGTTTGCAGTTAATATGGTTTATATGGTAAATGTGGTTATGGTAAATATGGTTTATGTTAAGTAAATATTTTTATGGTTCGCAGTTAGGTTATGGTTGTCCTGCCTTAAACATGACGAATGGTTTACTTTGGTCCCGTACATTTTGTACAGTTCTTGGTATGCAGAAATATTGTATTTACGCAACGGCAACGCAGAAACGGCGCTGGGGAGTCCAGGCGGTGCGGTGCGCGCGGCGCTCGGGGGCCCGCCATCGAAGTTATTGAAATTCGAAGGTAGGAGCATGATTCTACCTGTTTTGAGATTATTTACGATATGTCATGCCTTAAACACGACGAATGGTGTACAATAATTTTTTTCTAACGTTAGGTAGGAAAGTACACCCTGACCGCAAGATACTGATGGTAAAGGTGTAAACAGAACTGAACAACATTGATAGAAATGTCCGCACTTGATAAAAATTTCATCATTTCCTCTGGTGTTGTGCTGCTTGCTGGGCTGTATGGTTGCTTAGTCTTGTGTGGCAAACTGTTATTTTCATACATGTATTCTTATTTCAGATGCAGATCTTTGTGAAGACCCTGACTGGCAAGACCATCACCCTTGAAGTTGAGCCATCAGACACCATTGAGAATGTGAAGGCCAAGATCCAGGACAAGGAGGGAATCCCTCCAGACCAGCAGCGTCTGATCTTCGCTGGAAAACAGCTTGAGGATGGCCGCACCCTGTCTGATTACAATATTCAGAAGGAGTCAACTCTTCACCTGGTCCTTAGGCTCCGTGGAGGCATGCAGATCTTTGTGAAGACCCTGACTGGCAAGACCATCACCCTGGAAGTGGAGCCATCTGACTCAATTGAGAATGTCAAGGCCAAGATCCAGGACAAGGAGGGAATTCCCCCAGATCAGCAGCGCCTGATTTTCGCTGGCAAGCAGCTGGAGGATGGGCGTACGCTGTCCGACTACAACATCCAGAAGGAGTCGACGCTTCATCTGGTCCTTCGCCTGCGTGGTGGCATGCAGATCTTCGTGAAAACGCTTACTGGGAAGACGATTACTTTGGAGGTTGAGCCATCTGACTCGATTGAAAATGTGAAAGCCAAGATCCAGGACAAGGAGGGAATCCCTCCCGACCAGCAGCGTTTGATCTTTGCTGGAAAGCAGCTGGAAGATGGCAGAACCCTTTCTGATTACAACATTCAGAAGGAATCCACCCTTCACTTGGTCTTGAGGCTCCGTGGAGGTATGCAGATTTTCGTCAAAACGCTGACTGGCAAAACGATCACGCTGGAGGTTGAGCCGTCTGACTCGATCGAGAATGTCAAGGCCAAGATTCAGGACAAGGAGGGAATCCCGCCAGATCAGCAGCGTCTGATTTTTGCCGGCAAGCAGCTGGAGGACGGCCGGACGCTGTCAGACTACAACATTCAGAAGGAGTCGACGCTTCATCTGGTTCTGAGGCTCCGAGGAGGCATGCAGATTTTCGTTAAGACCCTGACTGGCAAGACCATCACCCTCGAAGTTGAGCCCTCGGATACCATTGAGAATGTGAAGGCCAAGATTCAGGACAAGGAGGGTATCCCCCCCGATCAGCAGCGTCTTATCTTCGCTGGCAAGCAGCTGGAGGATGGCCGCACCCTGTCTGATTACAATATCCAGAAGGAATCTACGCTCCATCTGGTCCTGCGACTCCGTGGAGGTATGCAGATCTTCGTGAAAACGCTCACAGGCAAGACCATCACTTTGGAAGTGGAGCCCTCGGACACCATTGAGAACGTGAAGGCCAAAATTCAAGACAAGGAGGGAATCCCGCCCGATCAGCAGCGTCTGATTTTTGCCGGCAAGCAGCTGGAGGACGGTCGCACCCTGTCTGATTATAACATTCAGAAGGAGTCGACCCTTCATCTGGTCCTTAGGCTCCGTGGAGGTATGCAGATTTTCGTGAAGACCCTGACTGGAAAGACGATCACCTTGGAGGTGGAGCCATCCGACTCGATCGAGAACGTCAAGGCCAAGATCCAGGACAAGGAGGGAATCCCTCCTGATCAGCAGCGTCTGATTTTCGCTGGCAAGCAGCTGGAGGACGGTCGCACCCTGTCAGACTACAACATCCAGAAGGAGTCTACGCTTCATCTGGTTCTGAGGCTCCGTGGAGGTATGCAGATTTTCGTCAAAACGTTGACTGGCAAAACGATCACTCTGGAGGTCGAGCCGTCTGACTCGATTGAGAATGTCAAGGCCAAGATCCAGGACAAGGAGGGAATCCCGCCAGATCAGCAGCGTTTGATTTTTGCCGGCAAGCAGCTGGAGGACGGCCGGACGCTGTCTGACTACAACATTCAGAAGGAGTCTACGCTTCATCTGGTTCTGAGGCTCCGAGGAGGCATGCAGATCTTCGTTAAGACCCTGACTGGCAAGACCATCACCCTCGAAGTTGAGCCCTCTGATACCATTGAGAATGTGAAGGCCAAGATCCAGGACAAGGAAGGTATCCCCCCCGATCAGCAGCGTCTTATCTTCGCTGGCAAGCAGCTGGAGGATGGCCGCACCCTGTCTGATTACAATATTCAGAAGGAGTCGACCCTTCACCTGGTCCTCAGGCTTCGTGGAGGCATGCAGATCTTCGTCAAAACCCTGACTGGCAAGACCATCACCCTGGAAGTGGAGCCATCTGACTCAATTGAGAATGTCAAGGCCAAGATCCAGGACAAGGAGGGAATCCCCCCAGATCAGCAGCGTCTGATTTTCGCCGGCAAGCAGCTGGAGGATGGGCGTACGCTGTCCGACTACAACATCCAGAAGGAGTCGACGCTTCATCTGGTCCTTCGCCTGCGTGGTGGCATGCAGATCTTCGTGAAAACGCTTACTGGGAAGACGATTACTTTGGAGGTTGAGCCATCTGACTCGATTGAAAATGTGAAAGCCAAGATCCAGGACAAGGAGGGAATCCCTCCCGACCAGCAGCGTCTGATCTTCGCCGGAAAGCAGCTGGAGGACGGTCGCACCCTGTCTGACTACAACATACAGAAGGAGTCTACGCTTCATCTGGTCCTCAGGCTCCGTGGTGGTATCTGATGTCATTCCTGTGTACAATAAATGCTAATCCGGTTCCGTACGTTATGGTTTGTGTGATTTGAACATTACGTTTCTAACTCAGCCAGCCGATTTGGGAAACAATACACGTGCAACGATACTCTGCATGTCTGAGTGGATGGAGTTGAATGAACAGGCGTAGAGGTCGCAGCTTCGTTCCGCGAAACACGCGGGAAACACGGGCCTGTGGCTGTTGGCAGACCTCTCAGGCCCGCTAAGGAAGGGCTGGTGGGTGCTGAATGATGTATTCGTCAAGTAATGGTGAGATTGCGCTGCGTGGCGCGTAAACTGCCGCATTATTCCTTTCATTCGTAGTTCCTTCTCTTTAGGTGCGTGCCCGTATGCCGTCCAATATTTATAATGCGTGCATATGTAAACATGTATGTATCATTGCGCGGGTCTGGGTGTGGAGGCAGGAACATCCCTCACCGGACGCCTGTCGTACATAATGAGAAAGGTCGTAAGGGAGCCGTTGTGTACGAAGCGATAGGATTAAACTTGAAACTGGCCTCTGGGGATGCGCTTCTGCCGGAAGGAAGACGAAAATTGTTGAGATTCGTGGGGCGAATGAAAGCAATGAGACAGACGGAGCGTGCGCTGAGAATGGGGACAGCTGCTCGGGCGAGTCCACCTTCCACCCCCGGGCCCACACGCATCACCGCACAGCAAGGGACCCAGTCCTCTGTATGCCTCTGTAGATATGCCACCTATATTGCACTAAACCACGCCAGACGTACCGGTCTGGCGCTCAATGCACTCGTCCGAATCATCTTACAAACTCCGTAGCTAACGATGTAATGAAGTTAGCTCTTAGTTGTGCAAAATCACCGCATGTCCTAATGATGCTTAGTATCTATTTGATGGGAAAGCATCTTTCGAATGCATCGGAGCGAATCGCTCCATCGTGAGCTTAGAACTTGAGACTGTCGACACAAACGCTTATGTCCGGGAGGTTTTAGAAAAGCTGTTTAATAAACGCCATGTAGTTTTTTCACTTTGCATAATCATTCTTCAGTGGCAAAAGTGTAGCGCGGGGTCGGAGGCACTACTGACGATGGCTCCCACAATTTGTACAAGGAGCTCGGCCCTCACCAACTCCCTGCACTGCCCCCGCACCGCCACGTGCAGATGTCTGCAACGGACATCAGCTGCAATGGTGTGCTGTAGATAGCGTGGACCGCTTATCGTTTCAAATTCAAACTACTTCTTAGTCCAACAATCACATTCACGAAAAACATTGTTTTTGGCGAGTTGGACACCCCCCGCATCGCATCGAGAGTCCCCTCTCCGTGGACAAATTCAGCAATGCCGTTTAATGAGCGGGCATCCGCATGCTGTCCTTCACAAGACAAAGCGCGGACGCGAGGCGAGGTTTTGTCCGTTCTCCGAGGCCGGCCGCGTCCCGGTGGCCGCCACCGGCGGTCGATGTGGACAGTCAGCTGATGATCAGCTGACTGGACGGCGTCTCTGGCAAGGGCGCGGCCAGGAGCGGGCACTATCCGGGCGTGGCCGTGCCTTCGCCAGCCTCAACAACTGCGCACCACCGGCTAGCTAGGGTTTCGTTCATTGGTCTGAATGGACTCGCAAGGGTCTTTCTGCCGAAGGACCCCTCTCTGCCGCTGTAGAGCCCCTGCTTGGATCTTTCAGTTTGGAGGGCTTTGTTAGGCTCGGAATGGCATTTGTGTGCTAGGGGGACCGTTCTTGGGTATTTTAAAAGACCTGGACAATGACATACTGCATATCGGGTTACAAGAGAGATGTCTGCCGCATCTTGACTGGAAATATAACCAAGGAATATTATGCGCATGTAACTCGCACGTCTTGCCCTGTCTGGACCGAAAACGCGAAGGGCAGGGCAGGAATAGATAGGGATGTAAGACCACTTTCCCATGAACTGTCCCGTATTTCATGTGAGACTGTACGGTCTCCTCGTATTCCACTGAAAATATACCAGTAAGGTCATCTTGTCATCATTATCAGCATGTCACCCTCGTCCGACTTTGGATATCTAAGCGAGGGCTGTGGTCCAGATGCACCTTCCCTTGGATTCGCTCTTGTGGATATTCAGAGGCGTCATAATAATTTGGACTTTGAAGAAGCACTTTGAGGATGGGGAAGACTGTAGTTCAGATTGGCGCTGATGACAAACTTCATCTTGACATTTAAAATGCTGGGTTGGATGTTAAACCTGTTTGCATGTTATTGGCGTGATTTCGGTCACCATGAGGCTTCCTCTTCTTTAACCTTGAAACAAAACTTGAAAGATGACCTTGACTGCTCATGTCACGTTGACGGAGTTGAGTGCGGAGGACGAACAACGTTATGGTGCTTAAGATCGGTTGGGTGTCACAGGTTAAGTCGGTGTGCTACGTCATTTGACATAAACTTTGACCTTTGTGGGTGGCAATGAAACCAAAGCGTGCAAATGTTGAGAATAATAAGTTTGACAGTGACATATCGAAGAACTTGAGCAAGCAAAGAAAAAAGGCAAACAGACAAGAACACAGATAAAAGAGCAAAGGAGAACGCAGAAAAGACTAACTGAGCCATAGAACGAACCAGAGGAGGACGCAGTTTCACTGATATCACCTCACCACAGCTGTCGCCTGGCACCACAGCCGTCGCGTGGACGTGCACATCGTGTGCGATGTTCTTTGCATGCTGACCGACTTGACCGGCACACGAGCGGAGCGTGTTGCAGACATTATGAAGTATGACGTCAGTAGAATATCTATATTTGGTATCATTTGACATATTTCATGCGCAAAGCCACAATTAAGTACCCTTCTACTTCTGTTGTTATGTTTCTGGCACATGCGTCATGCGCCATTACCCTAATGTACTACACATGTGCCGTGATGTTTGAGTTCACATGAGTGAGAGCGAGAGTTCAAACTATAATCCTTGATCCGGTCTTCCACTTGCAGTCGTCCGTGGTTACAGGCGGTATAGTGTGGTAAAGCAGTCGGTATCGCGTCACAACACAGGCAGACCGCACTGGTCCGCTACGCTGCCCAGATCGAGACTTGGCAACAAGAAACACATTCAGGGGGTGCAACTGCCACGTTTGGCTCCATGATACGTATGAAACACCATAGATCTAATGTTAACTAGCGTTAGGGGATGCAGCTGCATCCCTAATTAACTGTTAAGGTACGCTTATGACGCGGGCACGCTGAGCCTCTGTCAGAAGCCTGTCACACCTTGAATTTTTAACGGTGTACTCTAGTTAGGGGATGCAACGACATATAATTCGGTTTGAAGGCTAACTTAAGAAGGTATGGTTTGTTACAACACAACATTTTTTCGACGGTGCGTCCACGTCCTCCGAATACTTACATCCCATCAGCATGAACACCGGTCAATTTTAAGATGACCGCTACCAGCCGGAGCCAGTTTTTACATAAGCGCAGTATATCAGCATGGGCACGTCCTGACACGCATGCGCGACACTGAGGTGCGGCCATGATGTGCCGAGTCCGCTGTCCAGTACAGAAGAGGACGGCTCAGCACGAATGGAACGCTGGACAGCACAGAGGACGGGGGACACAGGACAACGCAGAGGACAGCGGATAGGACACACAACAGCAAAGAGGACAGGGGATAAGACACAGAGCAGCACAGATGACAGGGGATAGGGCACACGACAGCACAGAGGACATGGGATAGGGCACAGGACAGCACAAAGAGCAGGGGATAGGACATAGGACAGCGCAGAAGACAGGGGATAGGACACAGGACAGCTTAGAGGACGGGATATAGGATACAGGACAGCACAGAGGACGCCACAGAAGACAGAGAAGCGTACAATCAGCGGACTGCGCAGAGGACAGGGCGGAGGACATGTCAGGACGGAGCGGATCAGGACAAATGACTTGAAAGAGGACAAATGGGCAGGACAGTTTCCCAGAGTTCGCTACGACATACGACAGGCGTCATACCATACAGAAAGACAGTGCAGGCAGGTCAGAGCGCCCGGCACGGCAGGGGCTCCCCAGGGTTTGGTACGACACAAGACAGACATAATACTACACAGACAGACAGTACAGGTAGGTCAGAGCATCCGGCAGGGCAGGGGCTCCCCAGGGCTCGGTACGACACAAGACTGGCATAATACTGCACAGACGGACAGTGCAGGCAGGTCAGAATGCCCGGCCGGACATGGGCTCTCCATGGTTCGGTACGACACAAGACAGGTATCATACCACACAGAAAGACGGTGCATGCAGGCCAGAACGCCCGGCAGGACGGGGGGGGGCCGGACGGGGAGCACGGGTAATCACAAAGGACTGTGCAGGACGATGAAATAAGGCACAGTAAATGAAACGATGGAGGTCAGAGGACGGGGGACATAAGGGATGTCGAGCGACAGAGAGCAGGTCAGTGGAAAGGATAAAGGCCTTGGGTGGCATGATTATTCGGGCTTTCGTTCTCGTCTGGTGTGTGCACACGTCGTGTCCATCACCTCAGTCCCCGGCCTTCGCCGGGTGCTATGGAGTTCTGAGTTTATGTTGAATAGCGTTTGCCTTTCAGCCACGCGTGCGACGCCGGCAGAAGTTTTTTGCTTTGAAATGCTAGGATTCGAACCATAATCTTCTGGTCACGAGTACAGCTCTCGACCAACTGAGATAACCGAAGAGAATATCGGTGATAGCGGTGATAGCCATCGGCGAAACTAACGCCTTGTCCCAGTTCGTCGGTAAAATAATAAAGAACAGAGCAAGACAAGAGCAGTCCGTCCTTACAGTGCCGTGTCGTGTCGTACTGTGCCGTGCCATGTCGCGTCTTGCCTGTTTTGTCCGCCGTTCTACGAGTGGGCCTGTCTGTTCTGTCCAGCTCATTCCTCTGTACCACCTCGCCTTTCTTGCCATTCCCCGCCCCGTTTCGCTTTGTCTCGTCTCGTCTCCTCTCGATTCGTGCCGTTTCATCCCATGTTTATTTCGCCCGCGCAGCCCTCTGTCTTCTGCCCTCTGTTCATGCCCCCTGCCCTAAGTGTTAAATCCCCTGTCCCTTCCCCGTTCTATGCTCTGACGCGCCTGGCATTTGTCCAGCCTTATCCTGCCCAACTCTGCTTGGTCCTCTGACCTTTACTGCTTTCCG